ATCGAAAGATCTTTAAAAATCGTTCGTTCGGTTCGAGAGAAAAGGAATAGAAAATAGAAAAAAAGAGAGAAAAATACGAGAGAGAGAGAAAGAGAGAGAGAAAAAATCTCGATCGGAGATCGATGGGCAAGTGGTAGTGCTGATACTAAAATCGGTGGGAACCACTTGTTCACTTTTAATGACACGGAATAATGACACTATTGAATGGGATAATGACATCTATGAAAGAGTTACATGCATACATATACTTACACTTACGTATGTCGTATATGCATTTATACGTATTTATATATATATATATATATATATATATATGCATGTCTATGTATGCATGTAACTCATTCATAGATGACTAAGTATACAATAGTCCTTGGGAGGTCCCTTTTATTTAGAAGCGAAGGAATTCAACGAGCTTCTCAACACCATTCGTTCGCTCCTCCTCGACGACATTATATCCCCTTATTGTTCCTCATCGTTCACGTTGTTATTGTCATTATTGTTCTAGTTGTTGTTGTTGTTATTATTATTGTTATTGTTATTGTCGTTGTTGCGATTCCACTTGGGTGCCTCGATGCCTCGCCCGAGCGAACGAAATAAAATAAAATCAAAAGAGAAGAAAGAAAAAGAAACAACGACAACAAAGAGAATAGAATTGAAACAAAGAGAGAACAAAAAATAGGTAAGTAAGTAAGTAAGTAAGTAAGTAAGTAAATAAGTAAGTAAGTAAGTAAGTAAGTAAGTAAGTAAGTAAGTAAATAAGTAAGTAAATAACAACCTCGATTATTATTCGCTCGTCCGGAAACTGTTACAGTGTATTACTTTTTCAAGAGGGGGTTGCCCTCTTTTGAGTTACAATCCGAGGTAATAACTTGGACACCGTGTAGATTAAAATTGTAACATACGGCAGCTAGTCTAGTGTGTTATTAAATCAAGATGTTAATTGCGACGTCGAGCCTTCTCTCTCTCTCTCTCTCTCTTTTGATTCTCTTTCTTTCTTTTTTCTTTGTTTTTTTTTTTTTTATTATTATTATTATTCTCCCTCATCCCTTTTCGTCACTGGTAACATCGTTTTGTGATCGAGTCGAAATAATCGCGATCCTTTCTTTTTCTTTTTTTTCTTTTTTTCTACTTACTTTGGTGTTTGTACAAAATTTTTAAAAACATTATTTTTCTTATTACACGATGAAAAAATAATAAAAAAGAAAATGTAATAACTCGTTAAATATTCAATATATTTTACATGACACCTTACACCTGCTCCTTTTAAGATTCTTTCGTACATTCCAGAGATTGAGATTGAGAAAGAGAGAGAGAGAGAGAGAGAGAGAGAGAAAGAGAGAAAGAGAGAAAGAGAGAAAGAGAGAAATGCAAAAATAGAGATAGAAAGAAATAGAGTCGGGTCAGAGGGCTCGTGGCTATATTACTATGATACTTTTGGGGCGGAATGTTTACCTGAGTAATTTGTCAGCACACAATATACGAAATCCTTTCTAGCGACCTCCGAAAGCTTCTGGCGAGTTCTCAATCGAGCTCGGTCACCTTTGTATCCTTACTTTGTATCGTCCCTTTTAATCCATCCATCCATCCATCCACCCATCCATCCATCCTTGGTTCCTTCCTTCCTTCCTTCCTTCCTTCCTTCCTTCCTTCCTTCCTTACACCCTTAATTCCTACGTTCCCTTTTCTTTTTTTAATCTTCGTATCTTTTCTTTTTTTTTTTTTTCATCATCGACTTTTCTTTTCTTAACAAAACTTTGTCGAATGCCGAATCTTTTCCATTCGTATTTTAACAAATCCATTCGTCTACAATCGTTTCATTATTTTTTCGTGGATCGTTGCATTATTTTTTTTTTGTTTGTTTCTTTGTTTTTGTTTTTTTTTTTCCTCTTCTTCTTCTTCTATTTTTTTCTCCTACTCTTTTCTTTTTCTTTCGACGGAAAGAATTAATTCAAATCTAATCCCGGATTATTACAAATTTTAAAGAATTTTCTTAGCAAATCTTTTTCCTCTCCTTTTTCTTTCTTTCTTTTTCTTTTTTTTTTCTTTTTCTTTTTTAAACAAATTGATTTTCATCCCATCGAGTAATCAAATTTATCGATCAATGGATATTGTTTAAGGTATACGAGCCGATCGAACTGCATCGTTTTTACTTTTTAATTTTAATACATTAATTTGAATTCATTTAATTTTAATTCATTAATTTTGAATAATATTTTGAAACTGTTAAAAGTCAATGGGCTTTGATATTGAATGAAATTTATTTCATTTATTTATAATATCGTGTCAATAAATTCTATAAAAATATATTAAATTATATTCTTTTTCTAAATTCGATTAATATTCTATTGTCTTGTAGATGACTTATTAGAAAAAAAAAAAAAAAAAAAAAAGGAAGGAAGAAAGGAAGATAGCCAATAATCGAACAGATATCATTATAATTTAATTGTTCTATTTAATCATCGTATTTTTTTAATATTTTATTTTATATAAAATATTAAACCATTCGCTCTCTCTCTCTCTCTCTCTCTCTTATTCTCTAAATTTAACTAATATCCTGCTGTCTTGTGAATGAAGTATATAAAAAGAAAAGAATAGAAAAAAAAAAACAGAAAAAAAAGGAAAATTGTCGATCATCGAATAAAAGAAAGAAAGAAAGAAAGAAAGAAAGAAAAAAAAAAAGAAAAGAAAAAAAAAGAAAAAAAATAACGGACATTAAAGAACGACTTAATATATATATCGTAATACAATAATTAAATAAAAAATAATTAACATAAATAAATCTTCGAGAATATCGATATGCCGAGAAGCAGAAAAAAAAATATATATATATATATATATATATATATATATATATATTTATGTATATATTTACGTAATAAAATATAAGGGTAGAAGAAGAGAAGTGTTGAAGACGACAAAACGTTCGTCGATAAAACGATGTAAACAAAATTTGGAAGGAAATGGTTGCTCGTAAGTGGTAACACTTTGACTATTATTATAAGTTCAGTCATGCGAATTAGAAGAGTCACTCGAGGAACCTTTGGAGTTTCATAACGTTTGTCTCGATTCGATTCGTTTCATTTCTAGTAAGTACTTATGTACGTCCCGCATACTACTTTCCTCTCTCTCTCTCTCTTTCTCTCTTTCTTTCTCTCTTTCTCTCTCACTCTTTCTCTATCTCTAACTCCCTTTCTCTCATTCTTTCTTCTTTTCTTTCTTTGGAGTATTTAAGTATGGTACTTTACTCTCTCTCTCTCTCTCTCTCTCTCTCTCTCTCTCTCTCTCTCTCTCTCTCTCTGTGTATTCGTGAGAATATTTGTCACGCTTTTTCTTTTCTTCTCTTCTCTTCTCTTCTCTTTTCTTTTTTTCTTTTCTTTTCTCAAGTATCTTCTCCTTTTCCTTCTTTCATTTCTTTCATTCTTTCTTCCATTTCCATTTTCTTTTTTGTTTCTCCTTTTTTTTTTTTTTCTTTCCGTTACCCTTCAAACGTTCCCTCGTGTCGTATAATAATAAAAGGTAAAGGTGATAAGATATTTTTTCGTCGCGTTTGCACTTTCGAAGAAGAAGAAAAAGAAGAAGAAGGAGAAGAAGAAGAAGAAGAAGACAAAAAGGAAAATGAAAGCAAAAAAGATAAATAAACAAATAAAAATTTTCCTTCCTTCCTTCTTTCCTTCCTTCTCTCTCTCTCTCTCTCTCTCTCTCTCTCTCTCTCTCTCTCAGTCTTTTCTCTTTTCCTTTTTTTCCTTTAAATACACTTTAATCAATGTTTCTATGAAAATAACGTTACATTCCCCTTTTTCCTCTCCTTTTTCTTATTTTGTTTCTTTTTTCTTATTTCTTTCTCTTCTTCTAAACGATATTAATAAATAACAATAAATAGTGATTGTATTTCTCACGAAATTTCGTGTTAAAAAGGTTAAGAAAGGACGGAGAGAGAGAGGGAGAGAGAGAGAGAAGAAAAAAAAAGGAAAAAGAAAAAGAAATAAATTTTCGACTTCTCTTTCTCTCTTACTTTTTCTTTTACTTTTCCTTTCTTCCTTTCTTTCTTCATTCTTCTTTTCTTGCGGTAGATGTTCCTAGACGAGAATCATTTACCAACATATCCCTCTTGTTGTTGATGATTACAACACGTCGGTCGGTCTACCAAGCTAAGAAATACCTCAAAATGTACTGACAACCTCGACGTAGTCTGCCTTTTGTGCCGCGATTATCGTTCAAATCGCTGGAAAATTCTCGTGAAAATGCGTAGCATTGTGTTGCAAAGAGAAGGTCAGGTAAAATTTCTGTACCTTTTCTCTACCTCTCTTTTTTTCTTCTCTCTTTCTTTTTTTCTTTTTTTTTTTTTCTCTCTTCTACGACCTCTTCCTTCCTCTCACTCTCACTCTCACTCTCACTCTCTCTTACAAGTGATGAAGTACTTTAAAGAAAAAAAGAAACAAAAAAAAAAAAAAAAAAAAAAAAAGAAACAAAAAAGAAAAGAAAAAAGAGAAAAAAATTGTTTGCCTTCATATACCTTTCATCTCTTCCGACATGAATTTAGATTTTTTCCTTTCCCCCTCCACCTCCCCCCACCTCCCCCCACCACCCTCACCCCCTTCTTCCACATTTAACATAACACGGTACAACGAGAAGACATAACGTAACGCAATATAACATAACAATTTGTTCGTTCGAATTTTTTTTTTCTTTATTTTCCTTTTATTTTTTCTTCTTCATTCTCATCTCGTTTCTTCTTCTTTTACTTTTTTTTTCTTTTTTTTTTTTTTTGAATTAATTAATATCGTTCAACGTTCAGGCACCTAATTGGAAGGAGAAATCAATTTTAATGAATTTGCCAACATATTGTTTTTATTTAATTATTTACAACTTTCGATGACTTTCATATTTACGTTTCAGTTTATCTGTTTCATATATTATTATTATTATTATTATTATTATTATTATTATTATTATCATTCATCGAAAATCTCAACATTTTTTCTACATTTCTTCTTGCTTCCTTTTTTTGTTATTTTTTTTTCTTTTTTACTCTTTTCATTTCTTTTCTCTTTTTTCTTTTTTCGCTCGTGAAATGATCAATTTCAAGATTAATTTAACTACTTCCTGCCTCTTTTAACATTTAACACTGATTGGTTCCTGCAGGTTTCGGCGTAAATTACATTTATTATCATTATTATTATTATTATTATTTATTATTATTATTATTATTACTACTATTATTACTATTATTTATTATTACATACACACATATACATATGTGTGTATATATATATATATATATATATATATATATATATATATATCATTGTTAGTATTGCATTGGACGTGTGTCAAGTACGTGCCATTTTTAATAATCTAATAAAAAAATAACCAATACCCCATTCGTTCCTTAAAAATACGATGTGATATATTATAATCCAAATGGGATTGTTCAAAATCATTGATCGCTAAGAGAAAATATAGATTAGAAACGTAAAACTAATAAAATCAATTGATAATTTAAAATCGTCATTAATTTTTCATTGATCCTTCAAAAAAATTATATATATATATCTTAAAATATGATTGTTATCTTTGTCAATTACATTTAAAAATTCCTTGAAAATTCATGAACGAAAGATAATTTTGTTCTCGATTAATCTGTTTCCTTCTTTTTTTCCCCCTCTTTTTTTTTTTTTTGTTTTTTTTTTTTTTTTTTTTTTTTTTTAATGCTTTGGCCCTTAATTAAGCAATACATATTACACAACGAATCGATATACAAATTTGATTTTAACCGGATTTGTACATGTCACATATAATCCTTTCGATTGGTATAATGCCGATGGTTCGCCTAAAAAAAAGTTCCTCAATCGCATGGGTAGAGACCGATCTTAAAGTTGGCAATAATAATAGCAACTTTCCAAACCTAAGTGCACCAAAGGAGGCACCGCTTAATCTTTGTCCAAGCGCTAATTGTGCACCGTCCCGTAATCTTGCGACCGCAACTGCATCCTTTAGCCTTGTACCATTGTTAGGAGAGGCCGAGCCAGAGCTACTACTTCGGCTACTTGATACCGGATCGCTGTCAAGGCCGGCCTTAAAAAGGACAATAGCCCTTACGCATGCGAATTCGTGCTGATCGAGATTCATAGCATGAAAACCGGCCAATGTATCCCTGAAACGTGTTACTTCGACGGCCAATCCAAGACCTTGGGTACCTGGTGGTAAAAGGGGGGTTGGATCTAGCGTAGGTAACATTTGTGCCGCCGCTAAAAGGAACAATTCTCTCCAAGAGGATTCCAATAAGGCCAGTTGATCTTCGATAACCAGATTCGTACCAGCTGCCAATTCTCTTGCCCAATGTACGTTCAAAAATAATAATCTCGCTGCTTGCTCGCAAACCGATTCCGCCGTGATCGCTGGTATCAATGGGATAACAGGTAGATTTGCCATGGTAACTGGTATCTGAGTGTCGAATGTATGATAAAAATGAAAAGAGGAAGAAGGAGAGGGAAAAAGAAAGAAAGAAAGAAAAAAAAAAAAAAAGAAAAAGAAAGAAGTCATGAATAATGAGGAAAAAAATTAATCCTATTGACATTGTTACGATATAATTCTATTATTATATTCTCTTTATAGATCATAAAATGTGACCTACCTTTGGCAAAGCAATGCTGTTGCAATAAATTGGATGAGGAAGGGGATGATGTGGGGTGGACGGCGCTATCGATACTCGAGGTTCCGTCGGTGGTTTTGGCAGAGCAAGATCCAATGCTGCTGCAGTCGATTGCGGTACGATGCTGCTCATCATTTCGGGCTCCTTAAAATAAAGTGCCATTTGACGTCGTAAGGTCGAGTTTCTTGGTCCACGTTCGTGTTGTACGGCTGGAATAATGAAAGAAAAAAAAAAAAGAAAAAAAATAAATAAATAAATAAATGGAATAAGCATACGAAAAAAGAGAAAAAAAATAGAATAGTTTTTAAATGACATCCAGCATCGTCGCCGTCGTCGTCGTCGTCGCCGTCGTCATCGTCATTGCTGTCGTTGTCGTTCTCGTTGTACATCATTCGAACTCACCATCTTTGTTCATGCCTGCTTGAATGCATTTGGCTAATCTACACGCTCGGCACTGATTACGATGAGTTTTATCGACCATACAGCCACCCTCGGACTTGGCCTTGCAAACGTATTGTCGATTTCTTCTTATCGACCTTTTGAAGAAACCGGCACATCCGTCACATGCGAATATACCATAATGTTTGCCCGACGAATGATCCCGACATACCTTGCACGGTATGTCGTAAAGTATTCGACCTGCGCCAAGAGAGAACACAGAGAAACGAAACGGATGAAATGAAATTAAAAGGATAATTTCAAAAATATCGGTAAAAATCCAAAAAAATAATACGAAGGAATTGAATCAAAAAAAAAAAAAAAAAAAAAAGGACAAAGAAAGAAAGGAAGATATTAAAATGTTAGAAGAAATATAATCATCGAGAATCTATTATATTACTAATGCGTAATTATTAATACTAATACTAATGTATCAATATCTGTAATATATTAATAATAATATAAATCTATGTAACTTACTAATTAATAATAATATGTATAATCATTAAATTATTAATACACATTACTACCGTTTATATATATATATATATAATTTATCATATTTCTTTTATTTCTCTATTTTTTTGCTTGATAACAAGGAGGATACGAATGAGAAAGAGGAGAAAGAGGAGGAAAAGGGAGATAGGGGTAAAGATGAGAGGTATCAGTACGATCATCGGTATACGATTAAACGTTTTCATTGTCAAAGTTCATTGAGAGAAGATAAAAAAGGTAGATGACGTAAGGAGGGTTAAATCTAGCATGGCTTTTCAATGGTGGTTAATAACACCAACGCCATAGATATATTTTGCTTTGAAGATTCGTTCGTCAGTGAGTAAAAACACTAGGGTAGGGATAATGATGAAGATGATGATGAGGGGGCGATGAAATGGTTGAGGAGAAGAAGGGTAGTAACATTTGTTGAAAAATCGAATAAATAGATTGAGATTTGTCATTTAACATAACATGATAGTCATGGTATAATTTAAAAAGCCATTACCATTATTTTACGATTCCCTTTATTGGAATCTAAAAAATCGAGCAAAGGTAATGGTAAAGGTTGAGGAGAGTGACATTGGAAGGGTGGATTTATATGACGCTTTTACAATACAGGACTACCAAGCAACTCCTTGTCACTGGCACCGCCTACGCCATTGATGCTAAAGAGATTGTGAATGGGACGACTTCAATGGACCGGATGTGGTCGATCTATTCAAAGATTTTAAGTGAGCAGCAAGAAACGCGACACTTCGTCGACTCATATCGCTCCATCTCTCTTTCTCTTTCTCATTTTTCTCTCTCTCTCTCTCTCTCTTTCTCTCTCTCACTCTCTTTTACTCATTCATTCTATTATTTCCCTCTTCACTTTGGAAATCTCTCTATCGATAAATACTTTTCTTTATCTCCTGCTAAACTATTTACTTTTTCTAGGTAAAATATGTTAAGCGGTCAATACAAATATTTATATGTGTGTGTGTGTGTGCGGGGGGGGGGGGGGAGGAGGAGAGAGAGGGTGTTTGTGTGCGTGTATTAGAGTATAAGAACTGTACGTATCAAGATATATTCTCTCTTTCTTTTCTTTTCTTCCATTCCACTTCTATTCTCTTCATTTCTCTCAATTTCTTCGATACTATCATCCGTAAAATCTATAAAATTTCATGATAATAATTATTCAACTTTAATTTTGAATTATCAATTTACACAATACGATAAAGATCTATCAAACAATTAAAACAATTAACATGATTATCGAGTATTCCAATGTCGTAGGATTATTCACGATACTTTACGTATAACGTATATGTTTACTAATTCTCTTTTTTTTTCTATAACAAAAAAAAAAAAAAAAAAAAAAAGAAAACAAAAAAAAAAAGAAAAAGGAACAGAAAAAGATAGAGATTTGTAAATTAGCATTTTTTTTACCTTCCTTTTTCACTTTTCTTTTCTTTCTTTTTTCCTAACAAATTCTCAAACGATCCCGATGTCGATTGTGGGAACAAAAAAAAAAAGAAAGAAAAGAAAAGAAAAGAAAAAAAAAATTCGTTCGTTCCTTCGTTCGTAGAATCGAGTTCAAAGGTCTCTCGAAGGATTTTCCAAGAGCTGTCCGGCTACGCCTATGTATATAATATAATATATATATATATATATAAACGTGTATGTATCTATATGCATGAGTCTCGCGGTTCGTACCGAATATAACAGGGGAGAAATCGTCCGCCCTTACGGAGGCCCTTCTTTCCCTAGCCGAGGGAAAGTTTGAAAGCGTACGCACGTAGGCTCGCGAGCGTGCAAGCGTGCCACAGAATCACGCGAGGCTCTTCTTTCTCTCTCTCTCTCTCTTTTCCTGTCGTCGAGCTGAGACACGCGGGCACTGACTGCATAAAATTTGCATTCGTACTTCGTAGTACAATATCCTACTGTATACGCAAAAGAGACAGAAAAATGTATGTACGTACATGTACTAAGTAAAAAAAGAAAAAAGAAAGAAAGAAAGATAGATAGATACACAGAGAGAGAGAGAGAGAGAGAGAGAGAGAGAGAGAGAGAGAAATAGCGAATGAAACGCGATATAGGCGTGTATATATACATGCATGCATGTATGTATGTATGTATATATCTATGTTGTGTGTATATATATATGTGTGTGTGTATGTGAAAGAGAGTGACAGAGAGAGAAAGAGATAGTCATTCGCAATTGAATTTTTCATTCGGTTGGTCATAGCCTGTGTTTTAGCGGAGACTCTTAAAGTCCATCATTTTTCCGCTTTTGCAGAAATCGCGCTTATTCTCAAAGTTTCATATGGGATTTTTACAGTGGCCGCCGACAGACAGACAGACAAAGTAAGAGAGAAAGAGAGAGAGAGAGAGAGAGAGAGAGAGAGAAAGAGACAGTGCCATAAAGCATCGGTTTTCTACCCCTCTTACCTCGGGTTTTATTACCTATGTCGGATGAACGAAAGCTCGCTTCGTCGATTAGATATCATGATATAAAACTACTGACATTAAATCGTATAATCGGGATCCCTTTTTTTTTCCCTTTCACTTTGTCATTCCTGATATATAATGGTATACCAAAGATGCGATGACGGGAATGGGAATGGTGAACGGGGTTTGGATGGGTGGTTGGATTCGGTGTGAATGTAAAATTTTTCCCAATCAAACACGTGACGGTAAAACTCAGAAATGGTATAGTCCAGTTGCTCGAGTTAAATTATTATCGATTAATAATTTTATTAATTAACGATCGAACGATATATATATATATATATATAAATGATAAAGATAATGCCGAAGGATCCAACAAGATCAATTCAACCTATCTCGCTTCACAAATACACCATTTCACTCTTCTCACCCATCTCAACCTATTCACCCATCTCAATCTTTTCATCCACTTTCACCCTTCACCCGTATTTTTCGATTCCTTGCCATTTTATATTATCGATGCGTGCTGTACACATTGTATGCACGTACACATGCATACATATTTTGCTGTATTGTGTTGTGTTGAATTGAATTGAGTTGAGTTGAGTTGAGTTGAGTTGAGTTGAGTTGGGGGAAAAAAAAGGATGAGAAAAAGAAAAGGACAGGACCGTATATTAGCGATTCAAAATTGTGGAAAAAGAACAAAAAAAAGAAAAAAAAAAAGTTACTGACCGTCGCTTCGCGAAGGGTAAGAGAAAGAAGGAAGGAAGGAAGGAAGGAAGGAAGGAAGGAAGGAAGGAAGGAAGAAAGGAAAGAAGGAAGAGAGAAAGAAAGAAACAAAAAAAAAAAAAGGAAGAAAAAAAGAAAAGAAAAAGAGAGAAAGTAAAAAGGGGTTGGTTCGCCGTGTATATAAAAGACACGAAGTTCTCCGTGTGGTAAACGAAAAATCGGGAAAAAAAATTACAAGTTCACTTTTTTCCCTTTACGAAATTATACTTTTACCCCGTTACTTTACTCCAGTTAATTATAGGACAACGTTATTCGTCGATGAAAAAAAGAAAAAAAAAAAATATAGAAAAGAAAAGAAAAGAAGAAAAAAAAAAAAAAAAGAAAACGTTGTTCCAAAACTTTATCTAAACCATATTTGGTCGGTCCTATCGAAGTTTCCTTCGTTTTTTCCTTTCTTCCATTTTTTTTAATCTTTCGCATAATATTTTTTATCGTAGGATCAAAAAAAAAAAAAAAAAAAGAAAAAAAAAGAAAGAAAAAGAACGCAAAATAATACTTTGCGTCTCGTATTAATTATTACGATTTAATTTAACGTATAATAAATTATGTATGAAAGGGGAAAAATTGAAAATAATGAAAAAGAGAGCGAGAGAGAGAGAGATAGAGGTAGAGATAGATAGATAGATAGATAGATAGATAGAGATAGAGATAGAGAGACAGAGAGAGAGAGAGAGAGAGACAAAGATAATTAAAGTAGATAATCGATGAGCAGGTGAAAAAAGAGCAATTAGGATGACATCATCGTTCATCCTAAAAAAACAATCGACCATAACGTTTCCCGGGCCATCAGGTGGTGATATAGTATAACGTAGGCGTTACTGAAGCATGGGAATTTTCTGACATGTGTTCCTAGTCATATCGATACGCGATATCGATGGTGTTCTATATATCTCTCTCTTTCTTTCTCCCTTTCTCTCTCTCTCTCTCTCTTTTTAAACTACAGTAGATAGTACACGCGTGTATTACATTATGTTATACTTTATCGTATCGAGTTATACGTAGGGTGCTTAGACCGTATTCATCCGTCATCTGCGATGTTTCACTGTGTTTTAAACACCCCCTCTCACTCCTTCATCCCTCCTCCTTTTCCTCCTTCAACCCCCTTCGAAGTTTCTCTTTTTTTAACATTTAGCCCTTAAATTATCGTCCTTTTGTTCTAAACAACTCGTCACTCTCTCTCTCTCTCTCTCTCTCTCTCTCTCTCTCTCTCTCTGTTCAGTCATAAATGGATAGTTATTTTTTAATCCAATAAAAAAATCACTATCAATAGTTGTTTTAATGGAAAAAAATATACGTATTATCTAAGGATAAAATTTCAATAGGTTCGTTTTGTTTTCATTATTATGCCGATTATCATAATCGTTTGAATAAAATTTATATGTTTTATTTATGAACGAATTATATAAGATTAGTAAATTTTTACCGGTTAATTCTGATAATATTAATATTTTATAATCTAAATAAAAAACAAATGTATATATATATATATATATATATATATATATATACATTATTGAATATTCTGAAATTGTCCATTGGTCAATCTAAATTAATATTATTTTCGTTATATCAATTTTCTTTATTTCTTTCTCTTTTATATATTGAAATAACAATTAGTGCAAATTTTAATGTGCCTCCTTGATCAAAATATATCAATCCAATGTAATAATTAATAAATTAATTAATTAATATCTATAAGTATATAAATAGTAAAGAATTTTGCGTATGAATTATCGACGTTTATATGAGGATTGTTAAAAAAAAAAAAAAAAAAAATAAAAAAAAAGAAAACCAATAAGGAGGAAAAAGAAAGCAAAAGATTTCTAAATCAAGTAGCGGAGATTCTTGAACAACTGACGGCCGTCGAATGATCATCAGTGATGCATGGCAACCTGTTAGCTCGTCCACCCACCCTGATTCCGCGTTCGCATCGTGGAAACGATTACACCATCTGTCATAATTTTCTCATGGACGAGCTCCGTCGGGGTGAAGAGGGGTAGGATAGACTACGAGTCATTTAAATGTCCCGAAAAAAAAGAAAAAAGAAAAAAGACAAACGTGATCGGCTCACTCATTTAAATGCCACATGCTTTTTATTTCACACGAGAGATCATACGACGAGATCGTACGTAAATATATCATGTGAAAACTTAGGCGAAAAAGATTATCGATAAGCACAGTGATCGATGATGTTTTTGTTTGCAAAAAGAAAAACAACAAAAAAAGGAAGAAAAAAAAAAATATATATATATATATATATATATATAAATATGTAAAATAAATAGATCTCCTTACTGTTTGTTTGTTTTCTTTTTCTTTTGTTCTTTTTGTTTCTTTCTTTGAAGAAAAGTTCTACGATATGAAGAAAAAGAAATTAAATCCATAAATATATTTTTTTCTCTCGCTCTCTCTCTCTCTCTCTCTCTCTCTCTCTTTCTCTCTCTTTCTCTCTTTAATCGAAACTATTAAATATTTAGAAAAAAAAAGAAAAAAAAAGGAAAAAGAAACGCGCAGATTTTCACCGATTCGTATTTACAAAATCAAATTTTATTCGATTTCAAGATAAAATTTTATTATTCCGAATGAAAATAATATAAAAGAATTAAAAGCCAACGAATTTTTCTAATCGCATTTTGTTTTACGGGGGGAAAAAAAAAGAAAACCAGATAAAACACTTTTGTCTAAAATATTTTCCTTTCTCTACTTTTTCCTTTTTTATCTGGTATTTACTTTTTACGATATTTTCCTTCTATCCCTCTCTCTCTCTCTCTCTCTCTCTTTTTCTCTTTCTCTTTCTCTCTTTCTTCTAAAATAAAAATATAAAGACGATGAGTAATTTCTTTGACAAAGAGAAAATACAAATTTTTACGAGTACCTCGAAAGAAATTTTTCTTTTCTTCTATTTTGTGACAATTAAAAAACTGTCTTATTGTTTTGATTCATTAAAAGCAATAATAATAATAATAATAATAATAATAATAATAATAATAATAATAATAATAATAATAAAAATAAAAATAATAACAATAACAACAACAATACTACAGATAGAAGGGACAAAAATTTTATGTCCATTTTTAATTCTTCATGAAAAAAAAAAAACAAAAAAAAAATAATCCACAAAAAATGTCTAATGGAAAAAAAAATGTCTAACGTAAGGAAAATCTCTAACGTAAGAAAATAATATATGATTTAGATAGAAATACATGCCATAAACATGTCCAATGAATATGCTTGTCAGGTATAGACATTTTAAAACTAAAACTGTCAACAATGGAACGACCCTCAATTTCAGAAGAAATATTATTCATTGTAATTAGTTATATTGAATGTTTTTGTTTTATGGCATATAAACGACTAACGATAAATTTAAAATGATATAGAAAATCTATTCGTTCCGCATTTTATAATAGATATAATTTAATAATAAAAAAAGAAATTGTTTACTCAATTATTTATTACTGATAAACATCAACAAGAGATTTTATCTTCTTCGAAAAAAGATTTAACATCTTAACGATTGATTTAATTAACAACATCTTTCTCTCTCTCCCTCTCTCTATCTCTCTCTCTCACTCACTCATTATCTATCTCTCTCACTCACTCACTGTATACATACACTATGTATTGTTATGTTTTTTGTTTCTATAACGTCAATAACATCAACACGTATACGATTATCCCACATTCGTCGTTAAAATGAAAAACAATAAATAAATATCACTTATCTAAAAAACGAGATAACAATCATGGAAACCTTACTGGACGAGGCTGGTGGTAACTTTGGTTGAGTAACCGGGATGTGTCCCACTTGTTGTTCTTGATTCTGCATTTTCTCTCTCTCTCTCTCTCTCTCTCTCTCTTTCTCTCTTCCGTTATTATCTCGTTATAATAGTCCTTATATATATATATATATATATATATATATAGATATATATATGTATATAATCTTCACAACACTTCCTGTCCTTCTCTCTCTATTTCTATCATAACAGAAACGAGAGTTAAGACAAAATTTCACGTAACAATTTCAAACTTTTAACTGGTATATTTCGAGGGAAACGGGAGCAAAAAGATAGATAGATAAAGAAAAAAAAAATAAATAAATAAATAAATAATAGAGTAACAAAATACATCGGTCTTTAATTTCAACGAATGATCCGATCGACAAATAAAAAACGACAGTAACAACGACGACGACGACGACGACGACGACAATAACGACAACGACGACAACAACGACGACAACAACGACGACGACGACGACGATGACGACGACGTCGACGTCGACGACGACGACGACGACGACGACAACTATGACGACAATTATGACGATAACGATCGATGAATGAACATTTAAAAAAAAAAAAAAAAGGAAAAAAACAAAGAAAAAAGAAAAAAGAAAAAAGAAAACAGAAAAAAACAAAGAGAAGGATACGATTACACGAAAGGAATGGTTAAACGCTTGAAGAAGAGCTAAGCACTAGCGAAACTCCGACAACTGACTAGTCGACGATGAATCCTGACTGACAACCATCGTTCTTGGGACTTTTTGATGCCAACTACCCTCCCGAACCTTTTCGAAGTACAAGTTACGTGGATAGCGCCATCCGATTGGCCGACAGTTTTCCTACCATAGAAAAGGGCGTTACTTTCGAAAGGAACCGGCTGTGCTTCCTTCCCTCTTGAGTCAGGGGTTGTACGGGATCGGGTGGTTCGACGGGACGAAGGATAACGACGAGGGCTAGATGAGTGGGGAGGGGGGTGTATAGGGGAAGGGATAACGCTTTAGACGTCGAGTTAGAGGGGGATTTCACCTCAGTACGTCGTAAGGGAAGCTCAGATTCATCGAGAGACACCGGCTCAATCCTTCTCTCTCTTTTTCTCTCTCTTTTGCTCTCTCTCTCTCTCTCTCTTTCTTTCGTACACCCCGTTCGTCGGATTTCGCACCCCACCCATCATTCTATTTGCACCCCCTTCCCCTTTCTTACTACTCGTCACACTCTGTCTTTCTCTGTTTCTCTCTCACTCTCTCTCTCTCTCTCTCTCTCTTTCTCTCTCTCTCTCTCTATCTATATTTATCTATTTTTCTCAGTCTTACGTTGAGATGGATAAAATTTCAAACGTTTTATTCAGGAATAAAATAGTCAATGATTTTCGATTGATTAGGTATCTATTATTTTTTTCAAGAAAAATATTTATATATATATATATATATATATATATATATAAATATAAATGTTTATCTATCTATCTTTCTCTATCTCTTTTTCTCACTCTATGATATAATATAAACAGAATAAATAAAGCAGATGGGCTCCTGACTCTCTGACTCCATCTTGAATTATCTCATGCTTCTCATCCCTACTAAACATGAACCCCCAACCAATATGTGCGAGAGAGAGAGAGAGAGAAGGATCTAACACAGGGGCGAGCTTGGGCACGAATTACGCGAAGAATTCGCGTCATAATAACCGAGAGTAATATCATCGAGATAGGATCTCTGAATGTTACGTATTCTTCTACCCTCTATTTAGAATTTTACGAATCGATCCTATCATCGTGTTATTAATTATCGTTCTTTTATAATATCTTACAACATAAATACACCCTATATATACTTATGTACATATATACATATATATATATATATATATATATATATATATATGTATAAACGAGTATGATTTTGTTATAATTTGCAATTAATTTTAGTTTACATTCATTATATTTATAAATATATATATATCTATTTTTTTTTTCAATTCAAAAATTTCACACATTTTTAATTGTGTACAATATCATTTAAAACATTTACGACGTAATCAAAACGATTATAATACACGTCGAATATGATATAAAATATAAAAAAAAGAAATGCTAACATCCTTATAGAATACCGGATGAAGGATAGACATATTCAATGGTAAATAGAGATGCATCCCGTGAAACGTTTCGAGCCTTCGAAGAATATCAGTGTGTAGATCATCGAGGTAGGCCGTATCCGCCATTGAGGAGATCAAGGATCGACCCTAACTCACCGACAAATCTTGTTCGGCCGAGCGTGTTCATTGAGCATCGTTCGTTTTTGCCTTCGTTGCCAATATGCACTGTGAGTTAGAAAGAGAAAGATAGATAGATTATCCGTGTAAACTGTCCCTAAAAGATTTCTTTCCAAAAGTACGTTCTTGTATTCCCTCGTAAATGCGTATAGAAATACTCAGACACATACCTACACCTACACAGACACACACACTATATATATATATATATATATGTATATAAAAATACGCATATAATATGTGTATATATATATATATATATATGTATATAAAATGGAGGGACTAAAGAGAGATTCGAGTCGCTTTGTCAAAAAGGCAAAACGCGGCTTAAACGGCCAGTAATAGGAGCGGAATCAAAATAGAAAATTGTCTAGGAATTCAGTACCTCAAATTTTCTATTCGTTGGTGAGGGAAAAGATCGTTCGCGCGCGTTCTATTTTCTAAAGGATCCTGGCCGACTCACCGATGTTGTTTTAGGATCTAAGAAAGAACTTTGTTAGAAAGGCTTCTAAGATTTTTTTTCAAAGCTCCGAAAGCGTTTGTTGTTTAGGAAAAACTATATTTGATCGTGTCTCATTGTATGAATACAAGAACAACCAGATCAATTACATATATTTATACATATATACTCATTGAACACTTTGCTTAGAGGTATCATTGAAAAGAAAAAAAAAAAAAAAAAAAAAAAAAAAAAAAAAGGAAAAAAAAAAGAAATAAAAATAATAATAATAATTAAAATATTAACTGTAAATATTATTATGAGAATTATTTGTAATTTATTATGGATTATAATTTTAATTGATTTTCTCAAAACTCTTTTTTCATATCAAAAATTAATTCAACTATTGAAGAATGTTAAAAGAATATTAGGAAGAAAAAATAATGATAAGAGAACGACGATAGATTTGATGATTTGATATGATTTTTTCTTTCTTTTCCTTTCTTTTTTTTTTTTTTTTTCAATTCCGAAAGTATTAATTTATTTTTTTATTTCTTTTTTTAGTCATAATTTTTTTCTTTTTTTCTTTTTATATATATATATATATATATAAAATTCTCTGTCGGCTAAAATGTCAGGAATGTTGTAAAAAAAGAAAAAAGGAAAAGAAAAAAAAAATGAGAAATAGAAAAAGAAAAAGAAAAAGAAAAGGAAGCCAAAGGAAAAGAATAGAGGTTCTTTTAATACCTCGAGAGAAAAGACATGAGAAAGAGAGAGAAAGAGAGAGAGAGAGAGAGAGAGAGAGAGAGAGAGAGAGAGAGAGAGAGAGAGAGAGAGAAAGATAGAGAAAGAAAGAACGAGAGAGAGTAAGAGAGAGAGAGGGTGATACACACACACACATATACAAATAACGACAATGGCACGTTCGGCGTAAGATAAATACTAAGATAGGTCGCCGATAATAGGGTCATTTCATAAGCGGTACAAAGCCAGTTTTAGTAAAAGTTCAGCCTAATCGTGTCACCAATATCGCAAAGTAATTCGGATCATCGAATAGGATTCGTACCGTTGAATTATATAAGTAGTTCGTGTCAACGGGTGGTCTCGAGATGCCGAAAGAGAGAAAAAGAGAAAAAGGGAGAGAGAGAGAGAGAGAGAGAGAGAGAAAGGAGAGGGAGGAGGGGGTAGTAGAACCAAGGAGTAAAGTAAGGACAGTATTAGGCTATGCCATGCTTAGAATTTAAATCTAAAACTGCGAAGTACAGGTAAGAAAAGAAGCTTCCGATCGTTGTGTGAAAGAGAGAGAGAGAGAGAGAGAGAGAACGAGATAAATAGATACAAATAGACGAAGATAGAAATAGTAGTAGAAACTTCTTAGGATGCCGCTATCTCTCGCGAAAATCTCTCGACCATTTCGTTTTCTAGCTCATTGCCTGTTTAGACTAATCCCAGCGCCGTTCAACAATTGTTTGCGCCTTGTTTTACTGGTATTTCATTTAACGAGGTTTCAAGTCCTTTTTAAACTTTCTTCTCTTCCGCCACTAATTTCAGCCCCCTTCCACTCCTTAACCCACCCATCTAATTCTTCGGAATATATGGTTATATATATTAGGTTGGAAACTATGAAACGGGCGTTGAATGAAAATAAATAACTAAACAAAAACGCCCGTTTCATAGTTTCCAACCTAATATATATATATATATACATATTTTTTTTTCTTCTCTGGATGGGCGTTTGACGAGATTTTTTTTCTTTTTCTTTTTTTTTTTTTTTTTTTTTTTTTTTTTCTTGTCTCTCTTCGAGGCAAATTGAAATTTTGCAGTTGAAAATCTTGAAAGGATCTAAAGCAAAATACGAACTAGCGATTTTGTTTCTCACAGATTATTATTTCTTTTTCAATCCTTCCTTTTCCTTTCTTTTTATTTTAATTTTAATTTTAATTTCTTTTTTTTTTTTTTTTTTTTTTTTTCTTTAAATATCCTCGTGCAAATGATCATGAAAAGTAAATTGATTGAAAAAAAAAAAAGTAAAAGAGAGAAAAAAGAAAAAAAGATTCTCGTTGAAAATTAGGTTAAAGAAGAAGAAGAAGAAGAAGAAGAAGAAGAAGAAGAAGAAAAAAAATGGGCGCTTTCTTATTCGATTGTTAAGTCGTAGGAAATAGTCCGGACAAGTCTCGAAATAATCCCATGGCTATCATACGGTCGACTTGTCAAGTATTATGGGATCAGGAATCGCGAAGTACTGTTAGTACTCTTAGGTGGTCCCCCAACGAAGGAAATATCCTTGAGAGAGAAAAAAGTGAGAGGGAAAGAGGAAGCTCTACGCGTTAATGGAGGATAAGCTCGAATGGAATCTTTTGAGGTATTGACTCTATCTTTTTGTTTCTCATCTACTCACCTGATGCTTTTTCATTTTCTTCTTCTTCGCCATCTTTCCCCTTCTTTTTCCCCCTTTATCTTCTTTTTCTTTCTTTTCTATTTTCTTTTTTTTTTTTTTGAGGGACGAGACAGGGGTTGGGGAGGGAAGGGGGAGGGGGATTATTCGCGCAAAGGAACTTCAAACGATTCACCGTCATAGTCATTCTCAAATTTTACATTTCGAATAAAACGAATTTCTAATACTCGTTAGAAAAGAAATTTGTTTTTATTCCTTTTTTTTCTTTTTTTTTCGTTTTCTCTACAACGATCCATCGTTCATTTCATTCCGCGTATACAATTTCTTCAAAATTTGT